TTTAAAAATCGTTTAGGCGAAATAATAAGTAGAATTAAAACAAAAAAAATTATAATAATAGGTGACATAAATATTAATATTTCTAAAAATAGTAACGATGAATATAAAACGGATTATCTTAACTTTATGGCACAAATGGGATTCTATAGCTGCATAAATGAGTATACTAGAGTTTATAATAATAGTCATACTACTATTGATCATATATTTATAAATAACGAAGACATTACTAATATTGAACCTATTATCTTAGAATCATATATTACTGATCATTATAGTACCTTGTTAATAGCTGATAATCAAAATATAAAAAATAATCACGAAGTCAAAAACATTAAAATGAATATAAATATAAAACTGTTAAATTCCCTTTTGATTAACGAAAAGTGGGAAACAATTTTAAATGAATCTGATGTCGATATATGTGCATTTAAATTTCATAATTTACTAAATAATTATATAATTAATTCAAGCACACAAAAAGAAAAAAATATCTCGTCAAATAAACGTAAAATTAAGCCATGGATAACAGATGGTCTAATAAAATCGATTAGGAAAAGGGATAAACTAGGTAAAAGTATAAAAAATAGGCCAAATGATATTCATTTCTTAAATTATTATAAAAGATATAAGAACAAATTGTGTACATTAATAAGGAACGCAAAAAATGATTACTATAGAAATAGAGTATTGAATATTAATACTGGTGATAATAATAATAACAATAGTGCTACTAAACAGGTATGGAACATAATAGGGGAGGTTATCAACAAAAATGTCAAAAGTAACAAACCCATTTCACAAATTATTCATGAAAATCAACTGATCAATGTCAATACGGACACAAATAAATGTGTTAATATATTAAATAACTATTTTGCCTCTGTGGGTGAAAAAATTGCAGGACAAATTCAAAGTGATAACGAAATACCTAATATAATTAACTCTACAATAAATAATACTGAGAATAGAGATAGCTTTAATAATGATAATTTACATTATTTAAATTTTACGGAGAAAGATATACTATTGATTATTAAATTATTAAAAAAAGGGACATCACCCGGTTTTGATAATATTTCTTCAAATACATTATTACAGATAGCAGACCACATTATCAGTCCGATTACTTATTTAATTAACTTAAGTTTTTCAAAAGGTATATTTCCACATATATATAAAAAATCGATAATCATCCCAATTTACAAAACTGGTGATGTGAGAGAACTACAAAATTACCGGCCAATCTCTTTGGTATCTGCAATAGCAAAAGTCATAGAAAAATGTGCGAAACTTCAGTTGCACAGGTTTATTACAGACAAAAATGCTTTAAGTGACAATCAATACGGTTTTAGAGATAATGTGGGTTGTCAAAATGCAATTGCGTCCTTATCCAATTTAATTTATGAGTCTTTAGATAGAGGTAAAAAATGTTTATGTATATATTTGGATATAGCTAAAGCATTTGACTCTATTTCGCATGATTTACTGTTACGTAAACTAAAAATAATAATTGGAAATAATAATTTCTGGTATTGGTTCAAATCTTACCTTCTTAACAGACCACAAACAACCGAAATTAATGGTATTCTAAGTGATTCCTGTACTGCTAAATTTGGCATCCCTCAAGGTACAGTGCTAGGCCCTATTTTATTTTCAATATATGTGAATGACTTATTAAATTTAGATATAGGAGGTAAAATATTAGCTTTTGCAGATGATACTGCATTGTTTTTTGAAGCTGATACTTGGACTGAGGTGGAAAAAAGTGCTAATAAAGGTCTAACAGTGGTTAGTAAATGGTATACTAATAACAGTTTAATGCTAAATAAAAAAAAATCAGTTTTTATCCCATTCGCGCTATCCAGTCTGAATTTACCTGATCGAATTATAATCCATTTTCATAATAATAAATGTAAAAACATAAATATAATTAATGAATGTAATAATTGTTACCGTATAGCTAGAGTAAGTTCGTACAAATATTTAGGTGTAATATTTGATGAAAAATTAAAATGGAAACCTCATATTGATATGCTAATATTACGCTTAAGGAAATGCTATTATATATTCAAAGAACTACGTAGTATATTAGACATTCCAAGTCTAAAAATGGTTTATTTTGCATTAGTTCAGTCTGTCTTAATGTATGGCATAATAGTATGGGGCTCCGCCTATAAAAATGTACTTGAACCACTTAATGTAACACATAGAACTCTCGTCAGAGTAATAACGAAAAATACTTATAATTCCGAAATTAACACAAATACTATATTCCAAAAATTAAAAATATTATCATTGGAACAGTTATACAATAAAACATCAATTTTAAAAATATATATGAATAAAACAGTTTATGAATCCCTGAATATGTATAAAACAAGAGGAATGATCAATGGAAACTTAAATTTAATTAAACATAACACATCATTGATGAGTAATTATTATATAAACAGAGGGATAAACCTATTTAATCGACTACCAACAAATCTCAAATTGATTGATAATGATGTTAAATTTAAAAAAATGTTAAAAAATATGTATACGCAGTCCTTTGAAAATCTTATTTAATATCTGTATTTATTATATTTGTACTGAACCTATTTGTTATATGTTTTAGTAATTACTGTAATTAATTTTTAAGACTCCCTACTCTCACCACAAGCCATGCTTATAGAGAGTAGGTATCAACTTAAAATGTCAATGTTAATTATATATTTTATATTATGTTGTTGTTGTTGAATAAATAAATAAAAAATATAGTTTTCCACTGGATTATATGCATTTGGTTTGTTTGGGAGTTGTTAAAAAAAATATTTTGCTATGGTTGGGTACTTTGAAAAATTCACCATTATCAGTTCGATTACCAAGCCAGAGTGTTAAATTAATATCGAATAGACTAATGCATTTAAAGCAAACATAACTCGTGATTTTGCTAGGATTCCAAGAGGGCTAAATGAAGTTTTGAGATGGAAAGCTACGGAGTTTAGGACTTTCATATTGTATACAGGGCCTGTAGTACTTAAATCTATTATTAGTCCTGAATGTTATGAACATTTTCTATGTTTGCACGTGTCTATGACTGTTCTTTTAAGTCCCTCTCATGGATATCTTTTAAATTTTATTGATAAGCTATTGAGTTACTAGGTATGTAAAAAAAATTGGTGAAATTTATGGTGAAGAATTTTTGTCTCATAATTTGCATGCACTTGTCCACCTCTGTGATGACTATAACAAATTTGGGCCACTTGACAACTGTTCTTGTTTTATGTTTGAAAATTTCATGTAGTTTTTAAAAAAAATGGTCAGAAGCAAAGCTTTAGAGCAAGTTATTAAGCGTAACGAAGAACTTAATAAGTTTGGTAGACTTGAAATTACTTGTACTCAAATAACTGAAAATGAATGTAAAAATAGACATAATGAAGGACCAATAATTGAAGGCTGTTCATCGCCACAATTTAAAATTGTATCTATGAAAAATATTCTGATTAAGATAAGATCATTATCTGATTGTTATATTGGATATTTTAACAGTAACAAAAAGCTTATTATTATGAACGTTGTAAATGTTTGTTACCATCGTGATTCGTGAAAGTCAAGCAAATGTATTTTTGGGAAGGATTTTGAATACTGTTAAACCATTTTACACTAAACCGATAGACAAGTTAAACAGAAACACAGTTTCTGTTCAAACTTTTAAGTTAGGAATTGCTTCCGTTTCTGATTTGTCAGATGATTTAATGATTTGCAACATTAATACAACTAATTTAAAAAAGTATATGGCACTAGACCTAAATTATGATATTAATATTAAAATTGTTTTTCCGATATTACACTCAAAATAGTTATAGTTTCAAGAATAAATTGTATTTTTATATCTATTTATAATAAATGAATGTAATATGATCTGTATGCATTGATTATTTTAATTTTAATACAGCTTGTCATGGATTCATTATATTCAGTAGTCCATTTTTAAATGAAAATACTGTAGATTGTGTCCCTAGTAATTTGATTAAGGATAATACCTGTGCTTGGCCGTTTAACCAAAACAATGCTAGAAAGATGATTGAACAAAAATATCAACTAAATAATAAAGAATTTACTTATTTTAAAATAAGAATCCTTAGTTCCGGTATAAGTGAGTTGTATTATTTTCATTTTCATTTTATGACAAATGTTTGTAGTTGTAAATAAAAAGTATAACAGTCTATAAAATTAACAAAATTGACACTTTGTCTACATTTGTTATTATAGAAACTTTAGAAGAAGCAGATTTTAAAGTTAATAAAGCTCAAAATACAACAGACCTATCTGATGATGACAATAATAAAAAACGAATTAAAATAAATAAATTCTCTTCGACAAAGTCTGTGGAATGTCCTATGTACAATTCAGGTAACATTATTTAATGTGTTTATATGTAAAATATTTTAGTAGTTTTGTCATTATAATATATTATTAACTTTTTCAAGTATTATAGAATTAAATATTATAGGCAGTACACTAGTTATTAATAATATATTAATATATATTTTTTAATTTTTAGATTCTTATGGTAGTGGCACAGATTATATGAAAACAGATTGTGCACTTTCTATGCTGCAATGTAAAAAATGAATACGGTGCTGTGATTGGTCTCCGCCCAAATCAGTGTGATCACAAATACCAATGCTAAATTATTGAACATACCATATTATAGAAATTTGATTTTGCTTAGTGAACTTTTCAATTTCAACTCAATACTCAAAATATTATACTTAGGTAAAAGTAATATAGAAATAAAATATGCAAATTGTTATTTACAAACAAATATTTATTTAAATTTTTCACAATTTCAAACGATATAATATTAACAATTAAAATTAAATACATATTATACATTTATTATAAACATACAGAATTGATGGAGTACAAAATGTTTATACAATTACCTAGCTTACTTATTAATACTAAATACTTTCTAATTTATTCATAAATGATTTAGTATACATAATTTTCTATTTTTTTATTTTTTCTGATATTAAATTCCTATTTAAAAATTTAATTGCAGCATGAATTCTAAATCTAATAAAATAATTAATTAAATAATCTTTACTAAAAAGAGGACATGAATGACTAAATACAACATTAATCATGCTTAATTTTAACTTAATACCTACTTCTTTGTTAATAGCTATGTGTGGAAATCTATTTATAAATATGTTTTCCAATTCATCAATATAATCATAAAATGCATGTTGTGGCATCATTAAGTTGCCAAACATTGTTTTTTCTGCATTCTCATATGCTTTTAAATAGCAAAGTAAAAAGGACTCATCCAATTTGTTTTGTGATTTTGCATATTGAATACAAATATCACAAGAGTGTTTTTCAATGCATTTCTTCATTAGAAATCCACAAACATATATGAAAGCATTTTTTTCTGGCATCGATAAATTCCTATAATCTGGGGTGTCTATTGCAAGTATATTTTTTTTTAATTTGAAATGGATTTTTATCATGAAATATTATTTTTATGTTTTTGTCATTTAAGGGATCTGTATTAATTTTAGATAAAATTTCATCCAAGTCTCCTATGCAATTTGCATTGTCAGAGTGGGTAAAATAATTGAGACAAACATTTTGTTTATATGACCAGATAAATTGTATTGGGGTTGGATTAATATTATTTCCGTTATGTTGGGTGCGAAACGTGCCAAATAAATTTTCCAACCTATCTTGATTGATTCGACTTGTAAACAGAACATAACTCTCATCAGTATTGGTAACTTTTAGTAATTCCCACAATTGAAATTAACCAACCTCTAATAAATTTAATTTGGTTTGTCACTTCAACATTTGTTTTTTTGTTAAATACTTGTAATGTTTTAAAAAAGTTTTCCATAAATTTTAAATGTGAAATTTGCGAGTCAGTATTTTTAAAAGGTCTATTAAATTTTTTAAGCCAGGTCGTCTAGAAGAATTAAATATGTCAAAAAGTTTATCCATATTTTGAATAAAGTTGATTGTAGGCAATGAAGTATCAGGTAAGTGGCTTGATTTTAAGAAAAGTAGCATTCCAGCTGAGACACTCTCACTAAACACCTGTGCTGCTAAATATACGCGCATTTTTTCAAAAGGCCCAGGAAATATATGAGAATATGTAATTTTAGGAGCAGCGCGAAGATTATTTTTACTATCTTCATTATAGAATGAAACCAAATGTTTTTTTTCAATTAATTCATTATCATACTTAAAATTATGTTGATAAACATATTTCTGGTGGCTTTTAAAATATGTGGTGGATCAAATATATACACTATATTTTTATTATTAATTTCAAAATATGGCCGCTCAGGACTAACTTGAAGTTTATTTGAGAGGCCTATGAAATTGGAACCCATATCACTAACAAATGCTTTAACATTAATTTTAATATTTTCTAGTTTAAAAATACTGGTTAAAATTATGTCCTGCAAATCAAAACCTGTACAACTGTTTGATATAAAAAAATAAGCAATCGGTTGCTTCCAATTGAAATTTATGCCTTGAACCAACAAGACAAGTACAAACTTTGCTGGATCATACGTTTTACGATTGTTTGTTTCATTAAACCCTATTATTTCATCCTTCCTTATGTTATAAAACAAATTACTTTTTATTGCCATTTCATCTACGCACAACACACATTCTAATGATTCAGGTGAGAAATGTTGTGTTTTAAATTGTAAAAAATTAAATAATGAATCATTAAGACCAGGATTTATTTCATAATGTTTTGTTATGCGTCTTAGTGTACATGGATTAGGCAGAGCAAGAGTTGATTGCAAAAATCTATATACCTTTGGTCCCAAAAAATAAATTGTTAGAGCTAACTGTTTAAATTCATTGGAATACCTATACCCAGTTGCTTTTGTATTTCTACGATTAATATGTGTACTTATAATTAAAAATAAACCAGGAGGTAAAAATTGCTTAGTTAAAGTTAACATTTGCTAATTGTTGAGTCATGGCATTAATTTGTTTTTTCATATCTTTGGTTTCTTTATTTTTGGACTGAAGTTCATTATATAGTTTTAATTTTCTTGGAGTTTTGTTAGTGAGATAAAGTGGAGTTTGGCAAGATGAATCGTTGACACTTGTAGCTTATGTAACGTGCCAACTACTTCAACTCAATATTGATGGTATTTTGAATTAAAATGACAAGTTGATGGTATAATGATAGTTTATTTGTATTTATTTAACACGAAAATATTCTAAGTCCAAATAATTAAATTATAAAATAGTGGTAAACGGGTTGTGACTTAGTATCGACTTTGTGGCTGTTCTGCTATAGTGCTCGTCGTCTCGGCTGGTGTTCGTCTGATGGACACTTGTCCATCGACGTATTTCGTCGGTTTTCCTATTATATCCCTCCTATAGCATTTTTAGTATATAAATGGTACATAGCTGCGTATACCTGAGGTCATTTCGGGCGTCCTCTACGAAATAATGTTAATTGGGATTATATGTTTTCTCAAAGTTATCTATTTTGTTGTTTACGGCTTTTTTGTCTTTCCCAGAATATGGATAATGCGCGCGTTCTATACTCTTATCGATGTGGCCGCCCGGACGTTTATATTATTACTATTATTGGGTTACGTGCCCTCTGCAGCATTTATATCTATTATTGAATATAATATATTATATTATAAGCGTATTATACTTAATACAGCATAATATAATATAATATTTTATATATTATTACTATTATAATATGTACGTAGTCACAGCCCGTTACACCTCCTCGCCCTTTCAAAGGTTTTTGTAGGGCTACAATTTGTAGAACTACAAAAATCTTTAAATGAATTTTACATAAAACATGGATATAAATACATAGTACATAAATTGTTAATAATTGTCATAAAGACAATTTTACATAATTTCTTTTCATGACATAATGATTTTCATTTTACATAATTTCTTTTACAATACATAATTTTTCATCACAAAACATAACAATATTTCTTTTTAACAACACAACGTAACATAACATTTTTTTTTTTTTATAACATAACAGTTTCATTACATAACAATATATAATATTTTTTTTTCATCTGATTGTTAAACATAGTCATAATTAAAATTTTTGGTTAACACATTATACCTTAATAACTAATACAATAACATACTATATTACTATAGCATTGGATACAATAATATTTTAATGTTAAGTTACATGTTATATATAATATATTTTTAATGATTACAATTCGTTACACTAATGACAATACCACGTATCTGACATTTTACACAAAATGAGTTTTTGGTATCAAAATATTTGGAATCTCCTTGCGCACAAAATTATTTTCTGATACAATAACCTAAAAAAAATTATTTTCCCTCCAAATTGGATTTAAGTGATAACACGTATCCAAATTGTATCTGTGACAACACGTATCTACACAGTTTATCGTGTGAAGGATTCGAGAACGGATTTGCATACGGAATCCTTCCACTACAGCAGGTATTTATTACATTCAAATTTATAAACACGATACATAGTTGTTCCTATTTAAATTACAAATAAATTATTTTGTCATAACTATGAAATTCATTAAATAAAATCACTTCTTTAATACTGTTTCAGATACGTGGTATTGCTATATTAAAAAACAAATAAATTTTCAGTTACGTGTTGTTGTACCTTATACCTACCAAAGTAAAAATTATTTTTTTAATTATTATTAAATTATTTTTACTATAATATTAGTTAGCTGTTGTTTCATTTTAAATATAACTATTAAACATGACATCAAAATCAAGAATTAAAAAATTAGTTAATCTTGCAATTTATAATAACACAAGTTTGAAAGACCCTGAGCCTGTTAGTTATGAAGATTTAATAAATTCTGCTGAAGTTGTATTTGAAGATAATTATATACCTTTAGAAGTAACTACTGTACAAAATAATAATGAAAATGAATCCATAGAATATGATGGCAATACGTTTATTGAAAACTTACCTGTAGAAAAATATTACAACAATGTTGAAATCCAGAGTTCTGAAAATACATTATCATTAGAAAGTGAAATAATTTGTCTTAATGATATAGAAACTAATATCAATGAACTTATTACAAATGATTTTTCTGATGTTCAAGAAAATAGTAATTTAGATCATTGTGCTGAAATTAATTCCAATTCAGGTAAAATTAAAAGAAAACGAAATGTATATCCAGACAGTACTAAATGGAAAAGAGAAACAAATAAAAAATTAAGAATGAAAGGAGAGGCATATATAGGGTTCAGTCGTACAGGAAATGTTGTACAACAAAATATATCTAGGTCTGAACGTTCTTTATTGGATACTTGCTCATCTAATGTTTGCTTAAAATCCAAAAAACGATTTTGTAGTGATTTTACTGAGGAACAAAGACAAAATATTTTTGATCATTTTTGGAACGCTTCATGGGAAGAAAAAGAAACATTTGTATTAGGAACAGCTTTGGTAACAGAGGTTAAAAGAAAAACAACTGAAGAAAATACAAGAAGATCTAAAACTTATAATTATCACCTTAGGTATAAAGATAGTCTGCCTATTCAAGTTTGTAAGAAAATGTACCTAAATACATTATGCTTAAAAGAATGGATGGTATTAAACTGGGTAAAAAAAAGTGAGCACGGTATTCCAAAACAAAACCAACTTATTTCTATTGAAGAGCCAGACACAAATAATGAGTCTCCTACACAGTATAGATCAGTTCAAAGTATTTCAAGAAGACTATCTTATGCTAATAAATTAGATTATCTTAAGAATTGGTTTGATAGTTTACCAAAACTTCCCTCCCATTATTGTCGTAAAAGAACAGAACGAATTTATTTTGAAGGGCCATTCAAAGATGTGCAAGCAATATATAATTTATACACAGAAAAATGTATTTCAGATAAATTAGCTCCATTTAGCAAAGCTTTTTTTGTCAAGTATAAAAAAGAAAATAAGTTTTCAATATTTAAACCTAGAAAGGACAAATGCGATATGTGTGCTTCGTATGAAGTTGGCCAAGTCTCAGAAAATAAAATGGCTGTACACATAGCTCATAAAGATCGTGCTCGGGCTGAGAAAGAATTTGATAAACAACTTTCCAAAGAAAATAGGGCTCATGTATTTACAATGGACATGCAAGCAGTTAAATTATGCCCATATCTTCAAGCTAGTGCATTATATTATAGCATGAAATTAAAAGTACACAACCTAACTATATACAATATTGGCAATGCTGAATGCCACAACTATTGGTGGTATGAGACTGAAGGAAACCTAGAAGCATCCGTCTTCACCACAATACTCATTAAACATCTTGAGAAGGTTTGCCTTGACCAAAAACCAATAGTTGTGTATACAGATGGGTGTGGATACCAAAACAGAAATGTAGTACTTTCCAATGGCCTATTAAAATACTCTATGAAATATAAGGTAAGTGTAACACAAAAATATCTAATAAAGGGACATACACAGATGGAAGTTGACAGTGTCCATAGT